CAGCCCAAATGCCCATCAACTGAAGACTGGGTAAAGAAAATGTGGTTTTTTTATAAAATGGAGTACTACTCAGCCATAGAAAATGAGAAATTAGAGGCGTTTATAGCTAAATGGATGCACATTGAGGTGATACTCTTAAGTGAAATAAATAGGACACATATGCATAAATACCAAATCATTTCTCTAATTTGAGAAACTGAAAGTGTAAATAAGGACTAAAAGGTATAGTAGATAATGTGAATTTGGAAGAAATGGTGCAAAGGAGAAGGGGAATTGGAGGGGTAGGGGAAAGAAAGAAAGAAATAGAATTAATATGAGAAAATGAAAAAATGGAAACAAAGTCTTTATAAATAGGGAGAGATTGAAGGGAGGTCTAGGGGATGGGGAAAAATAAGAACCAAGAGAGTTTATTTAAAGGCAAAAATTTCCAATGATAAATGTCATTATATTGTATACCTAAAATGCACCAATAAAATTAATTTAAAAATATAGGCACACCAAATTCCATAACACATTAAAAGTAAGTTTTAGCTTGATATTTGGGGGTTACAATTGGGAAGCAAATTTGGTTGAATGCATGCAAATAAATGTATGTGATACAGTGGACTGACAGGACAAAGGAGTTTTATAGATCATCTCAAGGGATGCAGAAAATCATTTGACACAATTCAACAATATTTCATCTTCAAAATTCTCCACAAAGAGCAATCCAGTTGTCACACACCTGTAAATCCATATTTACACCCCCTAGTTTCTGGCACCTCCAAAAAGTCCCATCTATGAAGCATGAGGCTTTGTCGGGTATCTAGATATAAGGCAAAGCACTTATCATAGAGAAATCCCATCCCTGGTAAATATCCAAGACACTGAAACTGTTCTACTGGAGAAATATCCTTATGTCTTATTCCCTGAAAGTTTGTTGTCATGGAAGCAACCCAAGTGTTCCTTATCAGATTACAAGAGAAAAACTAGCATACACACTAATAGAATGGAACTATACAGTCTTATAAATCAGGAATTACTGGCATTTGCATCAACATGGCAGAGCTCTGAGGGCATTATGCTATGTTAAGCACTCCAGGCATAATCACTTCTATGTGGAATCTCACAAAGTTGAATCCATGCATCTAGAGAGTAAAATGATTGTTAACAGATACTGGAAGAGGGGGTTCAGTGGGCAACAGGGAAATATTGATCAAGTGTACAAAATTTCAACTACACAGAAAGATTCAGTTTTAGTGATCTATTGCACAGAATGGTGAATATACAGGCATAGTAATGCATGATGTATTTTCAATAGTTGAAAAAGAGTAAATGTTGAATGTTCACCCTTAGAAATGATAAGCAGAATGGATTACAGTTTGAATAATTAATTTCACTCCACTTTGTAAACCTTAATGAATGACAATGCATCTTTAAATGCCTATGATTCTTATCTGTAAATGATTATAAATACATAAGTTACCCAAAGCAAAAACCTAGAAATAAAAATTTCCTAGTGTAAAGAACTTCAGTATTATAATTGAAAAAGTCTAAATCATAATAATATTTTTATTGGAAATACTGAAAAATACTGATCTACAAATTTATAAATCCATTAATAATCATAGGTTCTAAGTAGAGGGTCAAAACAAGGAAGAAATTGAGATATTTATAAATTAATTATGGAAATTAAAAATCAATCTTCCTGTTCATTCAAATATCTGGAGCAAAACAAATCTTGACAGAAATATCTACATAAATCTAAATAATGACAAAAATAATGCAAAATAAATTCGTATTCAAACATTCAGCATTGATGACATCCTACTTTCCCAATAGTGTCATTTAAATATAAATTAGAAAGGCATTTTTCCCTTGAAAGCAGCTATGCAGAAGACCCAGATAACATTATATTTTAAAAAGAAATGTGGATATGTTAGATAGCTTGGATGGAGGAAATATTTGTTGACAGATACAGAAATTAAATTAGATTTGCACCTTATATAAATACATAATTGTCACCTATACCTAGATAATGCTGGAGAAGAGATGTAGCCTCCTCAGTGTTGAAACACTGAAAATTGGGGTATCTCAGGCATCAGAGAAAGGTGAGCTACATCCAGACCTTCACCAGGGAATGAGCCCTGGATGACAGAACGTCCATGGGGACAAATACCACTTGCTGATGGGAGAAATAATAAGTGCAGAGATGCAGGGAGCCTGATGTGCCTGTTGTTCCAGGGCTGGACTGGGGCTAAATGGGCACTAGCACCTCCATGCTGAGGTTTTACTAGGCAGGGCATCTGGAAAACAATCTAGGCAAATTTTGGATTCAGTTATGAGACAAAATCTCCAATACTGTACTTAATTAATCTACTAGGTTTTGGCATCAGCTCCTAAGTGTCAGAAAAATAAAACTTTTCCATTTGCAATCTATGTTTTTATGCTCTATTTGATGAGAAAAGCACAGCACACATGCAAGCATTACCTGTCACTCCCCAGTTAAATACCAGGAGCAGTTACCTTTTCATCTGTCTCCATACTACAATTTGTTGATGTTTTTTGCATATGTACAAATTTGAGTAAATAAACCATGGAGTTGGATCTATTCATCCAGAGCACAAGAAGGAACCAAACCTTCAAAAATGAATATTTTGTGAAGTTCAGATGTTTTGGGTTCTAATTTTCACTGAGTGAATCAAAAGGCTCTTAGAGAATACAACTGAGGGGCCTGTGAGGATCTCAGTGTTGATCATCCCATTGTATTCTCAGGCCTGAGTTGTCCCCCTGTCTAATCACCTGTCATTTACCCAGCCTGAGTGGAAGAGTGAGTGCAAAGAGCACATTGCAGACAGCAGGTCTTCTCATAGGGCACTCAGTGCGCTTCTCCAGGTTGGTCAGATCCAGCACCTGAGGCTTTTCCTCTCCCCAACACAGGCATCTGCTAAGGTGAAGCACACAGAGCATGCCCTGATCCCAATGATGCCTGTCTTTGTTCTAATCTTAACATATTCCAAATATTTTCAAAAATTTTGGTCAATATAGACCAGACTTCTAATGTTTCAGCAAAGGGATATGAAATATAAAAAGTACTGAGCAAGAAAATTGAGATATACATTTGCACTTCAAGATAACAAATATATACAGAGATATATACAAACAATAAAAATACACAGAGTCAGCTAAAAACACAGTCCACAGGCGTAATTCACAATTTAAGAATATACATCATTAATGAATACAATTACCTTCCAATGATAGATGAGGTTGTTTTTTTTTTTTTTGGTTAAGTAATTTTTCACAGAAAACTCTGAGCATCTGTTGAACATTCTTCATACATCAGCATTAATCTCCTTGTTATGCAGACAGTAGATGATGGGGTTCATAAATGGGGGCACCATGCTGTAGAAAATGGCAGTCAGCCTATTCTTAAGGGATAGCCTCTTTGCAATGGGACTTAAGACAACCACAGTTCCAGATAAGAGAAATAAAAGGAGATTGGACAGCTGTGAAGTACAGGTGGACATGGCTTTGTTATGGGCTTCCACTGAATGAGTCTTAAGCAAAGTTGAAAATATATTAACATATGACACTAACATAAAGGCAAAGCACACTAAGAGAAGGCAAACACTTAGAGCAAGGAATACAAATTCAGAAAACTGGATATCTGAAGAGGAACTCCTCAGAATTTGAGGAATATCACAGAAATATTGTGGGATCACTTTGGTCTTGGTGAAGGGAAGCCTGAACAGAGCACCTGTGTGGATAGCAGAAGCCCAGGAGCCAGCTATGGTCTGGGGGCACAGACTCAGGGTGATGATGAGCCGATAGTGCAGATGGTGGCAAATGGTCTTGAAGGGCTCATAGGACATGACCACCAGGAAGGCAATCTCTACTGCTCCAAAAAGAAGATCGAGGAAAATCTGTGTAGCACACTATGTCAGGGATATCATCTTACAGTCAAGAAATTCACTACAGCCTTGGGAACAATAACTGAGATGCTGTCAAGGTATAGGAGGGCCAAATTGCTTATTAAAAAGTACATGGGAAAGTGCAGATGTGTCTGTCATGATAACAGTGACAGTAACAAGATTCCCTGTTAGTGCTCCCAGATAAATCACTAAGAACAGCACACCTTGCAGATTCTGAAGCTCCTGGGAGCCTGCAACATCCATGAGTAGGAACTCTGTGAAGGCAGTGAGGTTGTCCATGTCTGCCCACCTGCTGTGGTCTCTGCAGAGTCAGAGATTAAAGTGAGCAGAGGATGCTACAAGCAGAATGCAGAGCACACATTAAAGGAAACACAACTCCTCCTGGACCATTTGAAAAACTAATTGCTCAAGATAAAGTGTACAATCTGGGACAATGTATTTTATAGTACACACACCTCATATGTGGCTGAAATAGTTACATTAGCCTAAAGTTTTGAAGAATTTCATAGATACTTGTATGTGTCTTACACATTACTGATATTAAGAGAAATACAGAAATTAACCTGTACAGAATTACCTGAGCAGTGCAGTAATGAGTCTAACCTCACTAACATGAATGTTGCTTATGCTCAATGTTAAGAGACTTAAGTGGGCCCTTGCTCTTGCTTCTTTCTTCAGTGAATTATAGCAAACTCACTTCTCAGTGAGACTCCCAGTGTGAACCCTGTGGTCAGCCCTGCTTTTGAAATACCTGTGAGCCTGCCAAGTCTTCCCAGTGATGTGTGAGGGTCACACTTCTGATGAGCTCTGGACACCTGGTGATCCCATGTTTCCTCCAGCCCCTAATTGGCAAGCATTCTTGGCCCATACCGTAGAGACAAATTAAATTTCAAATAAAGTCTTAAGAAATAGTTTATGTGTGTGACACTTAATAAAGAGGAAGCATTCAGATATGATTTGTGTGTCACTGAAGATCCAGAGAATCTTCCAGTTCATAACTTATTATAAAATTAATGTACTTACTTTATGGTAAATCCCTAAAACTTTGGGTTTGCAGTCAGCATGCTGAGACTGGAAGAGGAAGTTTTCCAAAGAACAAATATATGGCATTGCAAAATGATGCATGAGTCATATAAAGGGCTAGAAAAATTAAAATCAGAGTTCTAATTTTGAATAGCACACTGTTACATATTTTAAGTGACTCGTGTTCCATGGAGAATGATACTCTTTTAAAAACATGGGATATTTGGAAAATTAATGGACAGAAAGAACTTTTTACATGTCGGAACTCTAGCAACCCCCTGCTCATTAAAACTCTGCTGATTTTGTATTATATTTGGTCTTTTGTTGTTATGTAATCATGATTGTTGATATCAGAAAATTCCCTAGGATGATCAAAAGTAGTCAGCTGACATAAAATACTACTATTCCCCAGTTTTTCATGAGCCTACCTACCATAGAGGCCCACTATTCATCAGCCTGGTAAAATTCTCATAGATTTTTTATACTTTGTTGTACAAAGTGAATGTCTCTTCGTGGCTAATTATGAAATAGTATACATTTCACTTTTATAACAAGAAATACAAAGACTAATGCTTTGAAAATGAAATGCTGGGAAGTGTTTTTAGCACCTTAAAGTAGTACCTCATAAAGGTGTGTGTGGTTTTTCTAATTAGTTGTGGTATCAGAACACAACATATGTTAGACCACAAAACTAGCTCTGCTTCAAGCTAACACCCTGAGCCTTTGGAAATTGCAGAACAGGGCTTATACATAGCTTGTAGAAACTGCTTTCAAATAAACATATTCATCTCAAGTTCTAGTTAGCAATATATACATCCTGATTTAATTCTGCTCAGGTAATTTTGTACATGTTAATATCTGTATTACACATACAAGTATCTAGGAAATACTTCCAAGTCTTAAGCTAATGTACCTGTCTCAGCCACATAGGAGGTATGTGTACTATAAAACAGACACATCGGTCCAGACCCCACACTTTATCCTGAGCAATTAGTTTTTCAAATGGTCCAGGAGAGCTGTGTTTCATTTAATGCCCAACACAAAAGAAAGTAATAATAGTGGTTGGAAATCACCATGGAACAGAGCGTCAGGCCATGCTAACTTAAGAATGACTGGAGGTGGATTTAAATGTGTAATGAACAAATGATCAAATGTATTAGAAGATGAAATTTACAAGAGCATTTCATGGAAATCAAACCATAGTGTTTAAACATAGTCTTTAAATTAGAAAAAGAAAAAATGTTGAGAGTTCTAGTGTGGTCACTATGATGCTCAATTTCATGATAACTGGAATTCTTATAGTACTAAAATTATAATGCTGCTTCTTTAGATAATTGTAATATTTAATACATTTAATAACTTATTTGTAATGAACTGTCTCACTCACTCTGTTGTTCCCATTTTAAAATTGTGGTCAAATAAATTCAACACGTTACTGAGAAAATGAAAAAGGGAGCAACCTGGGTTTCCTCTTCTGCAAAGGATAAGGATGCACTGTGAAGATTGTAAATGTAAGGTGAATTCAGCTCAGGAACGCTTGAGAATTTGCACTAAGAGGAAGGACATGTAATAAGAAGAGATGGAGAATGAGACTAAGAGTATTGATGACCCCTATCTGTCATTTTGACAAAGGAAACAAATTGCCATAGTGTGGTTTGCATCTGTGATCCACAGCATGTGAGCAGTAGCAGCTTCATCAATTAATTTGATTTTGATAGTGACATTCTGTGTTCAATGATTTTCTTTTTATAACATAAGGCTTAGAGAAGAAACCACATGTAAGTCAATGAATTACTGGACAAAACAATTCCAATAAAATGTTTTTTAAAACACTGAAAAGACATTAATGTACCACTGTAAACAAATCATTATTATCATGCTCATAAAAGGTAGAAAAATGGTAAAAACTTTTGTAATGGAAAAGTAATTATCTTTGAAGTGTTATAAATGCCAATGAAAGTGTTTTCAATTTTATAATAACCCAGTTCTCTCTTTAGCAATGAAAATAAAATAATACAAAGACCAGATCTCTTGGTGTGACTAATTTAAGTACTAAAAAGAAAACTAGTAAGAAGATATATTATTATTTGAATGTTTCAATACAAGCAGAAATAAATGAATTAAGGTTAAAATTTTAGAATAAGGAAATTTTAGATAAGCTCTGAAATCAAGTAGAGGGGAGGCCTGCAGAGAAACTTGTCCCCTCATTAATTAGAATCCATGTCCAGCAGAAGGTTACAACTTGCAGGAGTATTTCAAACAGGTTTCTTTTTCAATAACATATGCAGACAAGGATGAATCATAATGAAATTGGAACTATACTGCCAATAGGAAAATAGAATTTTTACATCCAGAATGACATCACTCCTTGAATAGTTGACAGTGCAAAGAGGGAAACAAAGGGCTCACACACTGGTTTTGAAAAGCATGTGCAGTGAGAGAAAGGTGCAGCATGACCAGCCTGGTGTCGTTTAGAACAAATTCACTGTCGAAGGAAGCTCAGGTTCACGCTTTTGATCTGTTAGAGAAAACTTAGAAAGGTATCAACCAGAGAAGGACCACATCACAGTCATTCTCTACCCTAGGACCTAGAGAATGAGGAGCAGATGAGGGATTTCCAAACCCAAAGGCTGACAGAGAAGCCCTTGACATGTAAGTGATTACGTCTGTAGTGTTTCACATAGCATGAGGCCCTCAGGGTTCAGCCATGTTGGTACAAATGTCAGGACTTCCTGATATTTAAGACTGTATATTTTCATTGCGTTAGTATATATGCTAGGTTTTCTCCCTTAATGTCATGAGGAACACCTAGGTTTCTTCCAGGTCAACAAACTTTCAGGGAATAAGAGATAAGGATATTTCTCCAGTAGAATGATCTCAGTGTTTGGGATATATACCAGGGATGGGATTGCTCTATGATATATGCTTTGCCTCGTATCTAGATGTTCCCACAAAGCCTCATGCTTCATAGATGGGGCTTTTGGGAGGTTCCTGGAACTGGAGTGTGTGAATATGGATTTATAGGTGTGTGACAATTAGATTGGTCTTTGTGGAGAATTTTGAAGATGAAATATTGTTGAATTTTGTCAAATGATTTTCTGCATCCCTTGAGATGATCTATAAATCTGTCCTTCATCCTGTCAGTCCGTCATATCACATACATTTATTTGCATGCACTCAACCAAATTTGATTCCCAAGAGTAAATCCCTAGTGATCATGCTAAAACTTACTTTCCGTATGCTGTTTTTTGCCTGTATTTTATTGGGGATATTAGATGTATGTTCATGAGGAATACTGGATGAGAATTTATTTTCTTGTACTGTCTTTTTTAAACTTTGGTATCAGGATAGTGCAAGATATATAACATTAATTTGCAAGCACAATGTAAGCTCAGAAAGAACCTGCAGCCCCAATGATAAACAACTGACCACCAGCAGCAGCAGCAGCACCAGGAAAAACAATGCTTATTGCAAGCTACAAGGAGAGAAGGTTTAAAAGTGAAACTGACTCCTTCAGCATGGTAGGCTAGCTTTGAAGAAGAAATCCACTTCAATGCCACCATATTTAGAAGTGGTCTGATCAGAAGACATTTTGATAAGATGTTTGTTGGATAAGGCTGAGTTCCTATGGGAATCAAAGGTCACAGAACAAACACTTCAGTGTCTTGGGTTCAATGACAAGGTAGGAGATGCTCACAAGAGCTAATTTTGAAAAGAGGGGCTATTCACAGACTCCCTGAGAAGCTCAGGATGCAGAGACCTCAGGTTGTGCAGGATTCAGTGGTGCCAGCAGCAGCTCCTCCTGTAGGTAGCACCCAGGCCTGTTACACCAGGTTCACTAAGGGGGCTGGGTCAAGGTGCTGGGTTGATGTTCCCACTCACATAAAGCCCTGTACCAGCAGGGGCTGTCTTCCCTCCCTGGATGCCTCCTTCCATAAATGAACCAACTGATTGGTTGAAGAGTTGGACTGAAGTTTTCCCTCTTTGGCCCTAAGGAATAAAAAGCATTTTCCAATAAGCCTGCATTTAAATGAACTCTCATACTCTTTGTGTAATTCAATGATTTAAAAATATTGAGTGAAGTTTTACATAAAACAATGAGATCTGTAAGTATATCTGAGGTACTCAACATGCATAGATGTGACCTTCAGTAACACACACACACACACACACACACACACACACAGTACATCAAATATCAAATATCAAATGCCACCTTGGTCATATTTCCAGTGGCTCCTACTCATAGTTTTATG